CAAGTATGGGTCTATCGACCATATCCATCATTAAATTTATATAAGGAACCTCTACTCGGGTCTGAACAGTCTTATCTGCACTAATTAAAGCTGGTAAAAATATGAGTTGGGCTATAGGATCACCTGGCGCAACAGCAAAAGCACCTCGTGCAACTGAGCACAGCACTGAAAAGGAGCTAGCTTCCGGATGTAAAATTCCAGGTGTTACAATAAAACCTTGAGAGCTCAAGGCTGCTCGGCCTATCACAAGCCCGACCGCACCAGGTGGTACCGTGTCTGTTAAGATGACCGGTACCGGCGTAATGCCGTCCTCTGGTTTTAAGAGGACTCCGGTGGTGGCACAGAGGTCCAGGCTTGCAGGGTGTCGCTCCTGGCAGGGTCCCCTCGTGCATGACGGAAGAGTGCCCGGTCGGTCAAGGGGACCTGGGCCTTCGGTCCCCATCTCCCGTTTTTTGACTCCTGGCTCGAGAGAGGGCGTCCTTCTATGTCCTTCACTGACTTGCACTCATTGGCCCAATGTCTACCTTTGCGGCACCGTGGGCACATCCCAGGAGGCTTATTGCTAGGCCCTGCACGGCATTCCCTTTTCATATGTCCTGGTTTTCCACACTGAAAGCACACAGGTGATATTCTCTCCCTATGATTAGACCTCAAAATGGCGGCTGCTAGTCCATGAGCTGTTAAGGGGCCTCCTGTATCCCTACAAACCTTTAGCCAATCTGAAATTCCCTTGGACTTACGATCCTTGAGTAGGGCTCTACATTCTGCATTACACTGCTCCCAAACTATCTGCTCTACCATTCTAGTGTTCTGATCTCCCTCTCCAAAGGTCCTTTCCACGGCCTGCATTACGCGTGCCACAAAATCAGCAAAGGGCTCATCCGGCTCCTGCTTAACCTGTGTAATGCCCAGTTTCTCTTGCCCTTTAAGTGAAAGGGCCTTCCAAGCCTTTATAGCTGCAGTAGAAATTTGAGTATAAACTGGCCATGGATATCTCTTTTGATCATCAGAGTATTGGCCTTGTCCAGAAAGCATATTATAAGTCCAGGTCAAAGCATCACCGCCGCGCTGTTGGTTTGCCCGGGCGGTCTCAGCCAAAAGCTCTTGCCATAGGCTCTTCCAATTTAGATATGATCCGATATTAGGGAGAACAGCCTTCACCACAAATTGCCAATCAGAGGGAGTCATATTCATTCCCCCCATACGTTCTAACAGGGACAAAGTGTAATTGGCATGAAGACCATATTGCTTTACAGACATGGCCAATTCTCGCACTAATGCTGCATCTACCTGTCTGTAAACTCTTTCCCTTTCTTCTTCTAAGACGGGGAACATATCTTGAAGTTCCCGGCGCGCGGCTGCATCGATGAAGGAGGAGCCGGCGCCACAACTCATGGGCGGGGCAGATGGCTTCACAGCAGGAGGAGCCATTAGTGTAATGGCTCCAGAGCCCTGAGGCCATGGGCCGCTCCTGGCCGGCGCAGTAGCACCGCCATTCTCTTTCTTCTCCTTTTCTGATCCTCCTCTGATTCCTGCGGGTTGTTTGCGTCCTAAGCGCCTATGCCGCTTGTACCCTTCCTCCGCGTCGGACGTCTCCGAACTTGATGAGGAAGATACTGCTTTCAATTTCACCTCTATTTTTTGCTTCAAACCGGTTCTCCTCTCCCGCTCTGTTTCTGAGAGACTATCCTGGGCAGACTGAAGGGCTTTGTCACTCTCTCTGACCGCTCCCTTACGGAGGGCATAAACCCTCTGCAAAAATTTCACCAGAGAGAACCGTGCGCCCATGTCTATAACCAGAAGCGGTGGTTCCTATACCTCCGATTTATGCTCCTAGTCACCCGAAAGTTCTCCCTCTCAGAGCTCCTTACCTGTCTTTTGGCCGCAGTTCTGACTTCCACCCGTTCGAAACGGGAGGCCCCCTCCAGGTCCCGGGTTTCGGGCACCAGTTGTCGCGCCCACGTGTCTTACCGCCCAGCAGTAAGAGGCAGACGCGATTGAAGCCTTCTGCGGTAAAGTTTATTGCGCGCACAAAGATGAGGAAGAGGAAAAGGGGCGGACCCCGGCAGTCTTTCTGCTCTTATGTGCCGACTGGCCCCGCCTCCGCCGATGATAGGTCGGCGTCATGATCACGCAGGGTCCTGGGCGACTGGATTCGTCAGTCCCCAGTGTTCACGTGCCGGCCACGCCGCAGCTCACTGCGCATGCGCTAGGCTACGTGACACGCACGAAGGTGTGGCTTCTCCGGCCGGCGCCATTTTAGGCACAGCATGTGGCCAGTGCATACAGATGCGGCTTGCAACATATTTCAAAGGCAAAAATCAGAAAGAAGCATGAGAAGGAGGATGGCTAAAACAGTGGGTGCTGGGCTAGGTGGAAGTCGGGAGCCAGGAGTGTTGTCTGGGGTGTAGGGGACCAGGGTGTGGGTGCAGGGGACCAGGGTGTGGGTGCAGGGGACCAGGGTGTGGGTGCCGGGGACCAGGGTGTGGGTGCAGGGGACCAGGGTGTGGGTGCAGGGGGCCAGGGTGTGGGTGCAGGGGACCAGGGTGTGGGTGCCGGGGACCAGGGTGTGGGTGCAGGGGACCAGGGTGTGGGTGCCGGGGACCAGGGTGTGGGTGCAGGGGACCAGGGTGTGGGTGCAGGGGGCCAGGGTGTGGATGTAGGGACCAGGGACTTGGGCCATCTTCGGTTGCTTTTCCAGGTACATTAGCAGGGAGCTGGATTGGAAATGGAGCAGCTGGGACTGGAACCGGTGTTCCAGTATGGATGCCAGGATTGCAAGCCAACTACTTCAGCTGCTGCTGCTCAACACCAGCCCCGCATCTCCTTGGAAGTTGAAAGATGTTTATTTCATGTGACTTTCAATTAGGGCCCAACTTTACATACAACCTCAGATGGGGCAGAAGCCCAAGGGTGTTAGGAAAACCAAGGCAGCTTGGGAATGTCAGTGACAGACCCCAGGACCCAAGGGCTGTCTGGCTGACTGGGCACCAGTCCTCCGACCCATGGAGACACCCTGGCACTGGTGCTTTGGTAAGCACCCAGCCACACCCCTACTGCAGATACGTGGATTCTAGGTCAGACTGCACCCAGCCTTACCAGTCTGAGACTGCCGGTTTGGTTCTGGTGTGTCCTGGGGACAGCGCCGCCTACTGGACCCCCTGCTGGCACACTGGGTGCCTTGGCAACCAGGGAGGCACTTGGGGGAGCTGTCGGGCCTGGCTTGGCCTCAGGCCACCTTTTTCTGTGGCTTTATGACGTTAGTCTGTACCTGCCACCCGTGACGCCCATTTTGACATTTGTTAATTCTCTGAATCACAGGGGGTTTTTTGTTTTGTTTTGCTTTCTGAGTCAGTTCCTTCCTTGTGCATGTCACCAACAGGTGGATTTTCCTAATCAGATGCCAGCAGCTGCTAAAGCTCCTCCGGAGGGGGCGGAGGGGTGCTGACGGTGGAACCCCGAGTGGATTCAGGAGGGGTGGGGCTGGTGCACCGAGGTGGTGGGACCACTATACACTACCATTGCTTGGATTTGCTGCACATGGGGCTAGAAAGATGTGTTGGCTCCATGGCTGCGACCCTGTGCACGCATGCCCAGAGGTTCTGTGACTCTGTCCGCATCCACAGGCTGAGGGGCCCAGCTTCCTCCGCTGTGCCTGGGGCAAGAGCACGCTTTAGGTTGGCAGGGAGTACAGTGTCTGATTAGCAATCTCTTTAATCCACACCACCTTGAATCCTGTGTCTCATTTTGCTACCCACAGTGCTGCTGGAGTGACTGCAGATGGGCAAGTACAGGACACAGTGGGCCAGGCTCCTGGGCATGCTCTTCCTGGCTCCACACAGCAGCCGCCAACAGCCTGCCCATCTTCCCTCTGGCTTCCTGTGGGGGGTGCGTCTGCAGCCAAGGAGACATTTGCACCCCCCCCCCCCACCGCGCCTGCAGGCAGAGGGCAGCACATGGTTGCACACCCAGGAAACAGCCCCGTGGCTGGCACTGCACCATCCTGTCTGCCCCGGCCTCAGTGGGACGGTCCCAGCCTCCACCCAGGGAAGGCACTACAGCAGGACCCTCTGTGCGGGGACCCCAGGGTGTGTCAGCTTGATGACACAGGGTACAAAACCCCTGGGAGGAATTGCAGCTTTTCTCAGCTGGATCCCAACCTCTGCTAAGTCCAGACTACAGCTACGCCCTGACGAAGGCTCCTGCTGGGGAGCAGACAAGTCATGCTGAGTGATGCTCAGCGGATGCCCTCCAGTGGCCACCCCGGCCACCCACAGCGACCCCCGGTGCTTGGACACTGCGTTCCTGGCACAGTGACTAAGTCAGGGCTGGAGTCCGGCACCCGCTGCTCAAGGCTGCCCCCTGGGTACTGGCTTGAGAATTTCATGGAGCACCTGCTGTGGGAACAAGTTAGTCCTGTTCATCCTTCAAAGCTGTTGTTGGAACGGTAGGAATGAGCAAGTCCTAACGTACTCAGCCTAGCTCAGCGACCTGACCTCTGCCTACACAAAGTTAACCAGCTGCCTTGAGCAAGTTTCAGTGTCAGACAAAAACAGCTCAAAAGGCAATGGCTCAACACCTGTCTAATTCCTTTGGTCAGACTCTCATTGCAATAAGCAGGCAGGAATTCTTCATGGGTCTGCCTTGCTAGGGTAGTAGTACCAAGCAGGTCTTTTCTAAGGTGATTCAAACACGACGCACGCCACTGCCTTTTGTGACACCGTTGATGAACACAGCTGCTCCAGTCATGTGAGGCTTCCGTGTCGTGGGTCACCTCAGCTAAGCCACGGGCTCCACTGCTCAGCCCGGTGGCAGTCCAGCTGTGGCTGTAAGGTTGTGCAGTCAAGTCGCACCGAAGTGTGACATCCAGTGGATGAGAAGACGTTCACCCTGCGAGGGGCCACACTCGTTGAAAGCCCCAGAAGCTGCTCTAATCCTTGCTCGTGGCTGCGACCCAGAACCCCTGCCCAAGCGTCTGCCCTCTGGCTGCCCCAGGCATGCCAGACCCGAGGCTGCTGTGCCAGCTGGTGGCCAGCCTGCCCACCTGATATCAGACTCACACTGCCACAGTGTGAGTGTGTGCCTGTAAGACACGCACAGGACATGTGCACTTCCCGTGGGGGCTCTTCATGCTGCTCAGCTGAAAGCTCTCTGCACACACCTGCAGGCGTTGTCAGACACGCGCTGACCTCACAGGGTCTTCGCAGTGAAAGCTGGCAATGTTAGCTGCATCAGCGACAGCAGGCAGGTGCCCCAGCTGGGGTAAACGTGGGCGCCTTCTCAGCAAAGCTGTTGCACACGTGGTGGTCACGCAGACCTCACATGGATGCATCCTTCGTGGGTGTGCATCCACAACTCTTATGATTGGGTCTGCTTCTCTGAGAGCCCTGCATGGGCACAGCGGCTGTGCCGCAGCAACAGATTGAAACCAGACATGGGCAGAGAAACTGGAGCAAGGTCAATTGCTGAGGGCAGCATTGCTGCTGAAACATAAATCCCTAATTTGCCTGGGAATCTCACGATTCGTACTTGTAGTAAAACCAGTGGAACATCTTCAAGTTAGGATTAATTGTGCTTCATTTTAATGTAGGAGCTCACGGAGTTGTAACCCAAGAAAGGGCTGATGAGGCATTCAACCAGATGGTGAACGGGTGCCCCAGCTGCAAACCCTCCGGAGCACTCAGTTCAGGGAGCCTTCATGAAGCCCAGCTTTAGAGGAGCCTTGAGTTCCTCTGAAATCACTAAAGCATGAAACAATGCAAGAAGCATCCAGAGCCTCCACAATGAGCAGGCACGTAGCAGGATGTGGCAGCCGGCCCCTGGAGGGCTGAGAACGCAGCAGGTCCTCCGAGGCTCAGGCTGGCAGCCCGGCTCCCTCCAGGTGCTTGCCAAGCTGGGCACTCCCCCACCTCGGGAAGCTGAGAGGCGGGGTGGGGAGGGAGAAGCCAGGGAAGCTGATAGCAGGCAATGCTGTGATTTGTTAGCGTGCAGAGCGTCATAGAAACAACTTGTAACACTGGGTCCACTGACAATGATTTAAAGGAACACCTTCTAACTGTAAAACCTAAAACACTCTTAATACCCTGTGCTACTCCGTAATGGGGAGGGAATGCAGAGAAATCTTCCATCTCCCTAAAAAGTGAGAGGAAGACGTGTAATATAGCCTATCAGGATCAAATCTGATAACTAACTCATAGACAACAGACTTGAGTCAGCACTAGGCAATAGTAAAGCTACACAGGCATAAGAGGGGAATCGGGAGCGACAGTGAAAGCCTCTTAACAGGAGGTCATGCATATGGAGCAAGGGGGAGACCCCAGAGTGGAGCAGGTGGACAGGAGGAGGCTTGTATCCCAACCCTCAAGACTCCCAAATCCTCACCGAGGACTATCAGTACGGACACCAAGGACTACATCTCAACTGCCAAAAAGACCACGGCGAATAGGAGTGCCTTCGGAGGCTGAGAACTCTGAGGTCACCCACCCCCATCTGGAGCTTTCACAGGGGATGGAAGAAGTCCAAACTTCCAAGCCGTGCAGAAACCAGCGTCATCAGAACAACGGCCAGGAGCCCTGAGTGGTCTGCAGAAACAGAAGAATAATAAACTTCCTTCAGGACTAGAGAGGCGAGCTCTCTCTGGTCCTTGCCTGGCTCCGGCTCTGGGTCCCCACTCTCCCTCACGGTGACCATTAGGATCACTCCAGAAACCCCTCAAAACAAATGAACAAACATACAAACAAACAAAAAATCTAGAATGGACAGACACAACAAGGAAAGCTTAGAATTAGACAGGAAATGGCCAGCGAGGATCCAATCATGCCTCACTAGGTGGGACACAAAGATTAGTAACGCCTCACTGGGGTATTGGGGATTTCTCTGCACACCCATCCTACAAAACAAATCTTCTGTACCTGAACTGATCACACGTCTTGCTAGAGTTATAAGCCAGTTCAGACCATCTGAAAAACAACCAAGTTCAGCAAAATCATGCTTCAACACTATAAACAGCTAAATACAAAAATAAAAATAGACGAGACAGCTGAATATAATCTATAGCCATTTTGAGGTGTATGGAATCCGGTTGTATATAAACCAGAAATTGAAATGTCTATGAAGAAGTCACAGCACGTAGCTAAGAACCCGCATTTTCCTATTAACATACTGTTAATCAATACCATGTCAATTAATGCCATAAGGTTGTAAATGGTTGTTGATGTTATGTCGGGGCTTTTAATTGACTGGGATGATACTTTGCTGGCTTTACCTTCAGACCAGAGATGGTCTCACCAAGAAATCGTTGAATTCACTAGAATAATAAGATACTGGACTTTATGCTTGGTAAATACTTCCAATGAAAGAACCTCAACTGAATTTGAACTGTGGTAATGCAGCAAGGTGGAGAAATCTACCATGAGTAGAGGGTTCGGGGAGGGATGGGGGAATCCCAGTGCCCATAACACTGTGTCACATAATGCAATATAATTAATAATAATAATAATAATAATAAAGGAACACCTTCTACAGTGGCCCAGGAGTGTGTGTGTGTGTGTGTGTGTGTGTGTTTTAGTGTATGTGAGTGTGAGTGAGTGTGTATGTGTGAGTGTGTGTGTGTGAGAGAGAGAGAGAGAGAGAGTGTGTGTGTGTGTGTGTGTGTGTGTGTGTGTGTGTGTGTGTGCACACGCATGCCAGCACTCACAGGGGAACCCTTGCCTCTCACAGTGACAGCATGGTGTGAAGGCAGGACCTGGCAGGTAGCGGGGACATGCCAGTGGAGCCCCTGAATGTGCTTAGGGGCCTTACAAACATGAGCAAAGCCAGGTCCTCGCTCCAGTGGGATACCCACCTCCCACTGCATGGGTTCAAATCCCACCTCAGCTCCTGCAAGCCCTCGGGGAGTGCAGGTGAAGGCTGAAGCGCTGGGCCCCTGTCGCTGATGTGGGAGACCCAGATGAAGTCCCTAGCTTCAGCCTGGCCCAGGCCTGACTACTGTGAGTATTTAGGGAGGAAATCATGAATGAGAACTTTTTCCCTGTCTCTTCGCCTTATATACAAACAAATCCTACAAAACAACATTTTTAGAGAGATCCTCCCATGAGGACCCTTAGGCCCTTTGCCACCACACAGGAGGGCACCAGGGGATGGCAGCCACTGCAACCTGACGAGGGCCCCATCGGGCCCTGGCCATCCTGATGCGCGGAGTTCAGGCCCCGGCCTGTGTGAGCACAAGAGATCCATGTGATGGCAGCTTGGAGGAGTTGGGATTCCTTCCTCAGACCCACAGGGAGGGCACACACAGGCATCTCAGGGAAGGATGCCCACGTCTTAGAGGGCAGGAGCAAAGAAGGTGAGCCGGGCAGTGACTGTCACTCCCACCTGCTCTTGCTGGGACTTCTGCAGAGCCCCCCTTGCTGCCAGGCCAGCAGTGTGGCTTGGGCCAGGGGGCTGCTTGAGAAAGAAGGCAGTGGTGTGCGAGAGGGTCCGACTGAGTGTCAGCAGGCAGCAAGAGGAGGAGGGAAAGGGACAGCCCAGCAGGGGGTATGGTGGCCCGGATGAACCCAGGGCAGCCTGCAGCTGATCACTGGGCAACGCTGTCACAGCGTGGGAGGAGAAAACCTGGGTGTGCCAGGCAGAAGTGCTCCATCCATCCTTCCCACCAAGCCTGGTGCTCTGCCCTCTGTCTCCCACGGCCTAAGAGAAGCTGTGCACGCATGCACACACATGCACAGTGGAATCATGAGCTGGGTGCATGTCCCTGAGTGTGCGGTCTTGGAGGGTTTGTTGTTTCATAGGAGAGTTGGTGCGAAGCTGATCTTGCAGCCTGGTGTGTACTGATCTCTCTGTTGCCAGGCGCGGCGGGGTGTTAGGCAGCTCACACCCTGGAGCTGCTGGGAGAGGAAGCAATGATGTGAGCAGCAGCGGCTGTGAGCCGACCTCGGCAGAGAGAGAAAGACAACCAGGAGAGCGGGCAGGGTGGAGGCACATCCAGACCCAACAGGGACCCTGACACGGCTGTGCCCATGTGAAGGGAAGGGCTGGTGTGAGCAGGTGTGCTTGGGTGACACACAGGAGCAGCGCAGGTGCAGGTCCCGGTCTGAGGAAGGAAACAGCATGGGCCACAGGGACACTCCGAGACCAGGACGTGGTCGGGAAGGTCGGGGCAGCTGGGTCAGGCTCCACGCTGGGGTTGGAGACAGGCACATCCACACCGAGTGAGAGGGCCACGGAGAACCTGCCACCAGAGCTGTGCCCGTGGCACTCTGTGTGAGCAGGGCCGTGGCGTCCAGAGGCTGAGAACGCAGCACAGCAGGCATGAGCCCCAGAGGATGAGACAGGAGCCGGTACTGTGCCCGTGGCACTCTGTGTGAGCAGGGCCGTGGCGTCCAGAGGCTGAGAACGCAGCACAGCAGGCATGAGCCCCAGAGGATGAGACAGGAGCCGGTACTGTGCCTGGGAGGCACCTGCCACTTAGCCCTGATGGCTTAGTGATAAAGCCTGTCTGTCCGCGCATCACCATGCTACTGGAAGATGGTTCTTGGGATGGGCATTTAGCCCTGTGGCAGGACCTACGGGTAAGATGCCAGAGGGCCTGGGTTTCCTTCCCAACTCCAGCTCCTGACTCCAGCTTCGTGCTAACGCTGACCCAGGAGGCAACGGTGACACCTGAGCTCCTGACACCCCCTCGAAAGGCCTGGCTCCCAGCTCAGGCCAGGCCTGGCTGCAGAACAGCATCTGGGATGAACCAGCAGACGGGAGTGCTCGCTCGTGCTCACGCTAAACACTGGAGTGTGATCATTTTTGAGGCTGCCATTAGGCAAAGCGTGGTGCTCTAGCAGAGGCAAGCCACCCACAGACAGGGGAGCCCTCACTAACTTAAGGACAGTTAGTCTGTAACCCCACACACCCAGCGCACAGCTGCTCATTTGACTGAATAAAATACATAGAAATGAACTCACACGGCTCTTTAAGGGAAGGAGGTGATGAAGAGAACTGCATTTCCGGCTCCAACACTAAGCCACGCTCACTCCCCCGTGAGCCCACTCCCTGTGCCCCCGCCTGCGTCTAGAGCCATTTCGCTCTTTTTTTATTCAGATTTGTTTATTTATTTATTTATTGGAAAGTCAGATATACAGAGAGGAGGAGAGAAAGACAGGAAGATCTTCCATCTGATGATTCACTCCCCAAGTGAGCGCAATGGCCGATGCTATGCCGATCCAAAGCCGGGATCCAGGAACTTCTTCCGGGTCTCCCACACGGGTGCAGGGTCCCAAAGCACCTCTTCCTTGACTGCTTTCCCAGGCCACAAGCAGGGAGCTGGATGGGAAGTGGAGCTGCTAGGATTAGAACCGGTGTCCATATGGGATCCCGGCATGGTCAAGGCTAGGACTTTAGCTACTAGGCCACGGTGTCAGGACCAGCTCTTGCTCTTAACGCTGACATGTCGGTACAGGCACAGATCCAGAAGAACTGGGGTTCTGGCTCTGCTGCGGGACGCGGGCGTCCTGTGCGGGGAGGGGCCAGGCGCTCTGCTGCGGGACACGGGCGTCCCGTGCAGTCAGGCAGTGGATTTTTTTTCTCCTTTGTTGTTTTAGAGACAGAAGAGATGGTCCATGCACTGGTTCACTCAGCAGAAACCTACAAGGACCAGGGTTGTTCCAGAATGAGGCAGGACCCCCGAGTGCCAGCTGGGACTCCCAGAGGAAGTCGAGCCATCGTCTGCTGACTCCCAGGGTGCAGGACAGCATTAAGCTGGAAGTGAAAATGGAGCCGGAAGTCCAGACCGGGCACTCCAACAGGGATCCAGGTGGCCGCTGTGCCCAGGGAAGGCGTCTTAGCCACTACGTCAAGTGCCCACCCTGTGCCACCAGTAATACTTCCAAGAAAGAGCTTGCATTATATTCAAGTAATAATCTCATTTATATTTTAGTCAAGAAACTAGACATATTTTCTAACATAATGTACTGATTCCTGGCAGGTTTTACTTCTGCTCAAACAGGAAATAACACAGAACACATTTTTTTATGACTTACTTCTTTTTAGAAAGATTTATTTACTTGAAAGGCGTAGTTACAGACAGGGTCATGCACACACACACACACACACACACACACACACACACACACACGTCCACTAGCTCACTCCCCAGATGGCCACAACACGCACAGCCGGCAGGCCAGGAGCCCAGAACTGCATGTGGCCGCCCCACGCGCGGAGCAGCAGCCCAGACCTCTTGGCAGTAAAACTCATTTCTCACTGGTGTTACTAAGAAAGCGCCCCCTGCTACCAGCACACCATCTCCCTGCAGCTCACTCGCACCACGCGACAGCGCTGGGGCCACAGACGCGCGTCAGCTGATGGCTGCCCGAGACAGACAAATACAGAGTGGGGCTTCCTGATTCTGACTGCTCCAAGTCCCCAGAGGGCTGCACCCGAGGCTGACCGGTGTGAGATAAGCTCCAGGGACTCACTTTTTTTTTAAGATTTATTTTCTTTTCGTTGGAAAGTCAGATACACAGAGAGGAGAAGAGAGAAAGATCTTCTATCCGTTGATTCACAATGGCCAGAGCTATGCCAATCCAAAGCCAGGAGCCAGGAGTCTTTTTCGGGTCCCCTACGTGGGTGCAGAGTCCCAAGGCTCCACAAGCAGGGAGCTGGATGGGAAGTGGGGCCGCCGGGATTAGAACTGGTGCACATATGGAACCCTGGTGCATGCAAAGCAAGGACTTTAGCTGCTAGGCTACTGCATTGGGCCCAGAACTTCATTTTTTTTTTAAAGATTTATTTTATTTTTATTGGAAAGGCAGATATACAGAGAGGAGAGACAGAGAGGAAGATCCTCTGTCCGATGATTCACTCCCCAAGTGAGCGCAACAGGCCGATACTATGCCGATCCAAAGCCAGGAGCCTCTTCCGGGTCTCCCACGCAGGTGCAGGGTCCCAAAGCTTTGGGTCATCCTCGACTGCTTTCTCAGGCCACAGGCAGGGAGCTGGATGGGAAGCGGGGCTGCCGGGATTAGAACCGGTGCCCATATGGGATCCCGGGCGTGCAAGGCGAGGACCTTTAACCACTGCGCCACCGCGCCGGGCCCGATTTCATTTTTATAATATAGATTTTCATCAGGGATTCAGGAGAAGGCTGAGGTGAAGTGTGAAAATGGATTGTAATTCCTTAATATAATATTTGCTTCAAAATGAAGCCAAGGCAAGTTAACAAAATGACTTGAGCAAGGTAAAGTTCTAGAACTGGGCAGCACTCCCCAGGGGAGATGGTTCGGAGGGGCCACTCCAGCCCGTGCACGTGCAGGCTGTATTTATAGCTGGGGAACAGGAAGTGCCTGCACACAGCGCCTGGCGGGCCAGCTCACCGCCCCCGGCTGACCAGCAGTGCAGCTGCTGTGCTGAGTCTCAGATGCAGGCACCAGGCTGGGCTGCAGCTCACCGCGCAGAGCCTGCTTTGGGCCACATTGTATTCCCCACACACAGTTCAAGTTCAGGTCAAACTGAGCTGAGGCAAAGAAGAATGCCAAAAGGCAGTGAGAATTCAACAAACCTAGGCAACTACTGGGGCTCGTGCCTGTGGGGGCTTGCCTTTAGACTCAAAACCGGCATTTGTAAGTTACAAGACCTACTAGACAGCAGTTGTGGCGACTGGTGGGTGTGGTTGGTGGAAGCTTTCAACTGCAAAGCTGACATGCCTTCACTCTCTGGCGACAGCGCTTGCCTTTCAGATGCGTCCAGGCTACAGCAACAGACGCGTGCAAGCGGGCATGCGAATCTTCACGTCCAGAGGCGCTCTCTGCCAATCACTGTGCTCTAGCTGTATGAAGTTGTAACTGACAGACGGCGCGTCTATGCATTTTAAGTGCACAATGCCATGATTTGATTTGCATATGCACTGTGAAACATCTACCACAACCAAGCTAATGTCCCCCTCACCTCGCACAGTCACCGTTTCTGTGAGCGACGGGGAGCACGCGAGACCTACTTACAAGTTCCTAAATGAGCTCCTTCCGTGTTCACAAACATGGAAAGAACGTTGAGGCGGCAGCGCGGTGGAGCAGCGGGTTAAGCAGGAGGCTGCTCTGCCCCTGACCTGGCTCCCTGCTAACGGCCTGCGAAAGCAGCAAGAAGGACCTGAATACTTGGGCCCTTGCCACCCATGCGGGAGACCCAGATGCAGCTCCTGGCTTCAGCCTGGACTGGCCCTGGCTGCTGCAGCCGTTGGGCAGTGACGCAGTGCGTGGAAGAGCTTTTTTCTCTGTCTCTCTATTAGTCTGCCTTTCAAATAAATAAAATAAATCTGTGATTTAAGAAGCAAAAAGAAAGGTCAAGAACAGCTTTGGAGCAGCTTCACTGTTGGGCAGCAGGTGACCCACCTGTCAGTTGGTGCCAGCTAGTGCCCTGCCGTGCCCAGCAAGGGCAGGACGGTGTAGTCCGAGACAGGCTTCAGAGCAGACCATCTCAGCTTTCACGGCAGTCAGCGGCTCCACGGCACGTGGCTTCAGCATCCCCGAGTCTTGTATACACGCCTGTTTCAGGCAGTGATAATACTGCCCAGTTCGTATAAATATTATACAAATTCAGAGAAAGAACGTGTTTTAGGTGAAAGTGTTATTTTTGTGAACCACAAATCATGTTTGAAATGTTATTTTACAATATGGAAAAATGCCAATAATGTGAGATTAACATACAGATACTGGGTACAACGATCAGTGTAGCAATATGCCCTTAGCCTACTGCTTGGAACTCTTCTGTGCCCAGTCTTTCTCCTGTGCCCCTCCTGGGTGGTAGCAGCTGTGTTCCCAGCCTTCCCCAGGTCTGGCCTCATCTGCATTCCAGGCTATTCCTGGTGGCACCTCTCTCAGAGCCAGGGGGCTGCCCTGTCCTCGGGCTATTCCAGGTGGCACCTCTCTCAGAGCCAGGGGGCTGCCCTGTCCTCGGGCTATTCCAGGTGGCACCTCTCTCAGAGCCAGGGGGCTGCCCTGTCCTCGGGTTCCCACACTGGCCCTGCTGTGGCATGGGATCTCTTCATTTCTTGGCTGCAGCCTCTGACCTCAAGCAAAAGTGCCCTGCTGCCCCGGGAGCCCAGCACTGCCTGGTGTCTGCTAACTCCCGGGAGAGACGCTGGAGCCGCACTGTAATCCATAAGAGGGAGAAATGCGATTTCATGGCGGCAACCTCCCAAGAGGTCAGGACGTGTCTGTCGGCAGCAGAGCTCGTCCTGCCCTGATCAACACAGACAATATTCAGACTACAGCCCCTGAAGAGAGGGGCACCGGCCATCAGACAGAGCGCAGTGAGCGATGCTGTGAGGCTGTGATGCCAACACAGGTGAATACCCGTGGTACAAGCCTGCAACACCTCAGCATCTCCAGACTCGCCCAGAGTAGCTGGTTACGGGACTGTGCAAGTTGCTGGTGTGTCTCAACGGGATGCGTCATGATTGGACTCACTCGGGTCTCTGTTTGGGATGCCAGTGTTATACCGTCCTTTCCTTTTCAGCTTTGCTCTTGTCATCATTCATCAATCAGTCCTGAAGCTGTTTCATTCAAGTGGATATATTCACTGGGATGATGCGCCATTTATTGAAAAGGCAGGAGGAAGTGGTTGGCTTTTGGCATGGCTCTTCTCATTCATCATTTGAATTCCTGAGTTTTCTCCCTGCAAGACAGGATAGTCACCCGGGGCAGAGACCCAGCTCTGCCAGCTCTGCCAGCTCTGCCAGGGAGCTCTAATGACAGGGAGCCAAGGAGGAAGCAGGGGCTCCCTCAACCCCAACGTGTTCATCAGAGGTGGGATTCCAAGTCCTCTCCAGTCCGCCAAGGGTGCACCACGGGCCCATCTCGCCTGCTGCGCGGGGAGGTGGGGCCTGCGCCTCTGTTAGGACCCGAATGGTGGTGAACTATACCTGGGCTGGGAGAAGCCAGAGGAAGCCCTGGTGGTCTATAGCGGTTCTGACGTGCAAATCCGCCGTCCGACCTGGGTAGAGGGGCGAAAGACTAATCGAACAATCTAGAAGCTGGTTCCCTCCGAAGTTTCCCTCCGGATAGCTGGCGCTCTCACAACCCCGCAGTTTTATCCGGTAAAGCAAATGATTAGAGGTCTTGGGGCCGAAACGATCTCAACCTATTCTCAAACTTTTAATGAGTAAGAAAGTAAATAAAAAGAAATGGCTCACACATGGGATGCTAGCACTTGCAGATGGAGGATTAGCCTGTGGAGCCCCAGTACCAAAACCTTAAGAAAATATTCTTAACACACATATCTGATTTAAAAAAAAACTTGTATCACAATATATAAAGAACCACAACTAAAAAATAGAAAAACAGCCAATTTTAAAACAAGCAAAAGATTTGAACATTTTACGAAAAATCAGCCAATCAGCACATGAGGAGGTACTCAGCATCATTTGTTATCAGCAAAACGTTCATTAAGACCATTCTGGAAGTCCACTTTCCATCCACTACAGTGGTGAAAACTAAGAGTAATAACAGCAAATGTCGGTGGGCGTGTGGGACAGGTGGAGCGCTCACACCCCAATGGCGGTAAGTGTAGGTGAGCACCTGGGACAGGTGGAGCGCTCACACCCTGCCGGTGGGAGTGCTACATGATACAGCCACTTAGGAAAACCGGCTGAGAGCCTCTTACCAATTATCTACCCAACTCACGGCCAGTACTTCCGTTCATAGCAACTTACACAAGGGTGAAAGCACGTGCTCACACACTTGGCCAAGGGTGTTAACCATGACTTTATTCCTAATATCAAAAAAGCTAGAAACACACTCAAACATCTATCAACACGATTAGAAATTTAAAATAATTGTGGCATAGCATACAAAGTCATACTAGTAATAAAACAAATGAACTGCTAATAATGCAGCAACATGAGTCTCTGAAACAGTGTGTGAACTTTTTTTAAAGATTTGTTTATTTTTAATGGAAAAGCAGATTTACAGAGAGAAGGAGAGACAAACAGAAAGATCTTCTGCCTGCTGGTCCACTCCCAAAATAGGCACAATGGCCAGAGATAGGCCAGTCTGAAGCCAGGAGCCAGAAGCTTCCTCCGGGTCTCCCACACGAATGCAGGTCCCGAGGCTTTGGGGCGTCCTTGACTGCTTCCCCAGGCCACAAGCAGGGAGCTGGATGGGAAGTGGAGCAGCCGGACACGAACTGGTATGGGAACCTGGCATGTGTAAGGCAAGGATTTATCCACTAAACCATTATGCTGGACCGAATTCATAAAATTTTTAACAAGGGATCAAAAAATATACAACATATAATCCCCTTGAAGTGGCCTTGGAGAGCAAATAAACTAATCCATGGAAATGGAAAGCGGAGCTAGGGTAATACACTGGGCTCAAGAAAACTTCCCTAGGGTGACAGGATGGTCCTCTAACTGGATTGGGGCATTGGTTACGTGTCTGTATAAATTTGCTAAAACATTTTTAGTTGTACACTTGGGGGTGTGCATTTGATCACTCATCAATTGGGTCTCAATAAAAGACATATGACCCTACAAACACATTTCACAAACTTTTTGGAACATTGAATTGAAAGTAAGTTTACTTCGATTCAAAAGTGTTTTGAAATCCATGAATGCAGTTTTTCATTACAGATGTTTTCTGGAAATATTTTATAAGCTCTTTCCACAGTCACCCTAAGCTGTTTGAATAAGACCCGTTGTTTTATACATTTTGTATCTTCTGCTCCAAACTCTAGAGGAGTGCCCAGAGCAAATGAAGAATCCAGTTAGGCGTTTAGGGGAACTGCCACGGGGCTTCAGGCAGTAGCAGGACCATGCTTAGGGTCCCGCTGCTCTTGCAAGAGACTTCCTTCCGAGCTGCCCTGTGGTTGTCAAGGACCATTCCACGTGTGTCCGTCGGTGCAACTGTCCTAAGCAATTGTCTTGGCTGTTCTGCTGTGACACAAAATGTCCAAACTGGCATTTATTTTTAAAATTTAATTTTGTTACACAAACATATTGTAAAATCAGACCTTAGAAAAAGACATGATTTTCAAGATAATCCCATTTTAGAAACAGCTGCAATTTAATTCCGTTTTGCACATTTTTGTTTCCAAGATTTTTTTTCAGCTAAAGCAGTTATTATTAGCACTGTTTTCTCCAGTAGTAACTAAAAGTTTTTAAGAAAGAAAGGCCATATAACCATATAACCATAACTTGTCTAAGTAGGTTAATGTGGAAAAACAGAATTTTTCTCTTGGATACACATCATTAGAATAAAATTGTTTCATAGCTCAATGTGACTTGGAAAGATAGATTGTTTTAAAGCTTTGGTTAAAAGGAAGCAGATGGCCAAGATGTGTGGCTTAATTCCAGCTATGTTCAGCATGTGATGTATAAATTCCAGATGAAAAAGGAGGGAATGGGAGTGTGTGAATGTTAATATTTATGTATCAGAGCTGTATTTCCTAAGAACGTTTTGCTTAAGATTAAGTAAAAATTACTCAGAAGAGCTCGAGTCTTTCTGAACATGAAAATAATTGTATTTCAAAAGCCAGGCGTTTCAGCCACTTCCAGGCCAGCAAATGGAGTCTGAGTTAGCTTGAAAAGCAGGGGGAAGACCGAACGCCCCGCGGGCGCAGGGCCAGACTTCTGCAGGTGGATCCTCCACTTTCCCGGGCTCTGGGGGCTGCAGACGCCTCCTGCTGTGCGGCTGCAGCAACTTTCAGAACTTTCACCAACTTTCAGAAGTCCAAGCGCCTGCCTCCAAGGCTGTCAGGCGGAACCCCCAGGCCTGCCGGCCCCACAGCCTGCCCAGCCTTGCAGAGTGGACCCGCCCCAGACAGGCCTGGGCTTTGAGGTCGCTAGTCCCGCTTATCCTGATGGGGTTTACGGATTATTACCAAAGTATAATAGTGGACACATTTGCTTTTTGGCTTATTCAGAAATCTATTCCTATATTCCGGGAGAAATATTAAGAATCGCAGCACCGTTTTACGAATTAAATCAATGCATTCAATTGTGAGAAGCCCATTGAGCCCAGCGGGCAAAGGCACAGATCTGCCCGCCCGGCTGTTTGAGGCGCGTTTTGAGACGCGTCAGACCACCAGTTTTGTCATCCATGAGGGTTGTTGTGAAAATTACGCGAAATAATGCTCATAAAATGTAGACGACGGTACGGACCAGAGTTGGGCCGCTGCGGGCTGTTAGCACAGTGAGAATTTCCCTAGTTTTCTAATTCCCAGGGGAGAGCTAGAGTCGCCGTGATGGGGCTCCTCTGAGAGCTGCGTGCGTAATTCCGTCGTGCGTAATTCATAATGGGCTGGTGTGGGGCGGTGCTTCCCACTGCGCTCCTCACCCCCCGAACGCGTCCGTCTGGCCCCTCACAGGCGCTGGGTTCTTGGAGAACAGAGTCTAACTGTTGCCTGTCTGAACGACTAAGTAGATTCTGAACCAGAACTAGTGAAAGAAAGAATGAGCGCGCAAATGCATCTGTGAGTTCTGTAGTATGGAGTAATCCTGAAGAACAGCTTATCTTAATTGGCCCTGCGTCTGGAAAGCGACTTAGATGTTACAGATGTTCCCACTCTAACTTAGAGCTCAGAAGTCTTTGAGTGCTGTCTGCCTGGGATACGCCTGAGGCACTTCCAGGGCGGGCTGCAGGGGCAGTGAGGTCGGGAGTCTGGAGAGGGCCTCTGAGTGTGGGACATCTGTGAATGTCACCCCGCAGGCATCCCGCGGAGGTGGTGCTCAGGCACTCGACGGAGTGGGGTCACTGAGAGAGGGTGTCAGTTAAGAAGAGGAAAAGACTCTAAGACCCCAACCTGTGTTGCTCCAACATTAGAATGACCGCGAGAGACCTCGGTGGAGCCGGAGCTGCAGGAGGCCAGAGGAGTTAGAACACAGTCCGCGCTCGCCATTGGCTGCAGCCAGTGCCTGCCCTCCATCCCAGGGACAGGGAGCTTTTGGATCCCATCTCCAGCTAGCCCGACTCCCTCCCTCAGTCGCTGTTGGCTGGGCCGGGGTCTCCGTAACGGTAGGACCCAGCATCTGGGTCTGGGGGCTCCCTTTGCCAGTCTCAGCTTCCACCAGCCAAGCTGTAGCTCCCCCGTGTTCCCAGCTTGGTCACCAGGTCTCCGGGGAGCACTGGGACAGTCACTCTTGGGGATCTTGCTTTCAGATTCCCTGGTACAGGATCAGGGAGGTGGCTTGGACCCATTGATGCTACCTGCCTCCTGCTTTCCTGCTGTGTGCTGTAACCTGCCCCAGCTACGTGGCTTGCTCTTCACAGCAGTCCTTGCACCCTCTGCCCCTGCAAAGGCCCACCCACTTGGCCTCGTGGCAGCAGCTGGGGTGCTGGCTGGGCTCCGGGGGCCATTCAAGCCAGCGTTGGAGGAAGGCCAACTCTGTCTCTAATCGAGTTTGGATTCTGCTTTTTACCGTTTGGTGGGCTCAAAGTGTCTGGATAATAAATATTTCCTGCAACAGAGGTATAGAAGGGCAGGACTTTAAACATGGAACGCTCGTCCTGCGGTCAGCTGGAGGGATCTAGAGGGAATGTTAGGAGAGTAATCAGTGCAGAACACCTGGGCTGTCCCCACGGAGCCTGTGGACACAAACCAGCGTGAGGAGCTTCGAGGCTGCACCTTGAGGGACCTGGAAGTGCTGGTCGGTCTCTGGTTAGCCTAATTGCTCACTCATTACAACTAGGGATGCTTAGGTGTGGAGATCATGGTCTAGTCAGAAAACCTTTGAGTGCCTGCTTTGCAAAGCCGATGCGCAGCGCCACCAGGAATTCCAGGGTTCTAGTGTTTCCGTTGGTCGTGATCAATACCCATCCAGATCCAGAACAGCCATTTTCCTTACTAAATCTGGCGGGTAACAACACATAGATCTATGCTGAAATGTTCACTCCTGGCTCCTGACTTCAGATTGGCGCAGCACCGGCCGTTGCAGTCACTTGGGGAGTGAATCATCGGACGGAAGATCTTCCTCTCTGTCTCTCCTCCTCTCTGCATAATTGAATTTGCAATAAAAATAAAATAATCTTTAAAAAGAAGAAGAAGAAGACACGCACAGGCATCGTATACGGGGGGAACTGGGCTGTCTTGCCCCCCCAGGGCACGCCACTCTCCAGGAACCTCGGTGGCTTCAGTCCTCCAGATGTTTCTCGAACTCTAACCTTACGGATTTTCTTGG